AGATTTATTTATCTCAGAGAAAGGGTGAGACCATGGGGGAAAGGGCAGAAGGAAAGAGAGAATCCTGAAGCAGACTGCCCGCTGAGCGTGGAGCCTGACACAGGGCTCAATCCCACCACCCTGAGATCACCACCTGAGTTGAAACCAAGAGTCGGCAGCTCAACAGACTGAGCCACCCGGGTGCCCCACCCTGGATGTACCTTTTAGAGCACTTACTACATTAAGTCAGTTATTTGATTACTTAGTCTTCTTGGCTAAGAGATGAGCTCCTATAAGAGTCATCATTACTTCCCATTAAGACAGCATCCCTGTAGTAAGCCTAGGGCACAGCACATTACAGATGCTCAATAGATTTTGACTGGCTCCTTGCCTCTTACTTTCATTCATCCAGTGTCTTCTTTCTCCCATACCTGGCTCTAGTTCAATTACCTTCACCTCTATCAGGTGCCACAGTCTTCAAGATGCTGTGAACAAAAGCTGAAATGTGCACAGGCATCGTAACAAAAAACAATTTGGTGTCAAAAAGATGGCATTTGGCAAAATCAGTTAAGCCACCACTAGGATCACTCTCTGAATACTGGTTAACATATGTACAGTAACACTAATACAATGGAAACTAAGGGTGCAATAGGGCCAGGGGAGTAGAAAGTACGTGATTTCGTAGTGGAGGGTCTCTATGAGATGGGCAATGGAAGAGTCATTTTAGTTGAATTATAGCAAAGTACGGATATCTTTCTGTTGTGCTTCTTCTGTATCATGATGAAAACCTGACAATTCCTAGCCTGTCACATGACAAGTAGAACTAAGATTTACATTTTGTTGTTTAGGTAGCTCACCTTATATAATGTGGAAGGTTCACCTAAGTTTCTGATGGCAACAACCTCTTTACCTCCTCTAGGAAATTAGGGCGCTCATCCACTACCCCCACTCTACCCTCAATACTATTCTAATGCCTGATCGTGTTCCCAGGTCCAGATATTCACTTCCTTCCAGGAGAGGCCCCAGGATATCTATATTTGAGGAAATTAAGGGAAACATTCTGGTTGGAAATGGGAACCAGGGCACTTGTTTGGAAGCCACACACACATAGCAAAGGTATCGCTTTACCAGGTAGTGTTTGTTTTGTATGGGCAGTTAAGTGGTTAGGGGTACCAACCGGCTGCCTGCGTTCATTTCCTAACTCTGCTACTTAGTGGCTGTGTCATATTGGGCAACTTTCTACTAAAGTTTCTGTGCCTAAATTCTCACTTGTGGAAATGCAAATAGCAACGCTACATCGCTAACAAGGTTGTGTGAGGAGTATGTGGGTTAATATCCACAAAGCGTCTAAAAATGTGTCTGGTACAAGGTAAATGCCATGTAAATGTTCACTCTTGATAATATTTACTTAGCTTTCATGTCATAAAAACTGAATGTTTTGAAACAAATGTTTTGAAACATTATATACATATATGTTATATAAACATACATTATATATTTATATTACATATAATCTTATAAAAATATTAAAAAACAGACAGGTTGAAGATGATCATCAGGGAAGAAGCACTAAAAGTCCTTTCAAATACCCCTTGGTATCACACCATTTCCCTCTTTGTGCTATAGAAATAGGACTCTTTTTCAACTCTCTCTGCTTCCTCATATCTCCTGTTAATTACCTCTGCTACCAGTAACAATCCTTTCCCTCAGATCATAGCCTGGAATCTGTCACCTGTTTATAGATGTCTGCAATTGATTTTGTACATCCCTTTGTCTCTATCTCAACCAAAGTCAATTCAATCATTGCCTCCCTCTGGTAATTATTTACTGAAGAGGAAGACTCATGAAACAGCTGTTGTATGTTACCATGTGATTCTTATAATCAATTCCTACCACTCTCCTTACTTGATTGGCACTGCACGGTTTCCCAGAAATTTGGACATTTCCTAGATTGTATTTCTTTTTGAGATTCTGTATGAAAGGGCCAAATTATTTTATATTTTTTTCAAATGTCATACCCATAACTACTAGAGCAAGGAAGTTTCTTTTAATATGCAAAAAAGATAATTTTCCTATACTGGGTATTTAAAAGCTGGGAGGATTGCTTGGATAGTTGTTAACATGAATTTCTAAATTCTTCAACTGCATGCAGGGATCACAATTAGGCACCCCCTTTCCATTAAGCCTCAGAGTCAACTTTTAAAATCACCTCATGGATATGGTTAGATAGGTACAATGTCATGGTAAGCAGAGCAAACGGTTCACAGATTCAAGTGGATTTTGACAATAAACTCTGCTAACATTAGTGACATAGCCAAACAGAGGGGAGTCTGGCAGAAGTGGAACTCAAAAGAATCACAGAGATAAAGACTGACAGTGTTCCTCTAATTCCCAGACATGAAGAAGCTGCCCTAAGAAACAGATGGGAGTGTCTGGCCGATACATCCTTATTGACAGATACATCGCCCCAGGTGTACCCTGTCCCTAGCTGAATTCCTTGAACCCTGGAAGCATATGACTCTCCTTGCAATGATCATTTGATCATCAGCCAGTCCTCTGACTTAGAGTCCCATGAAGTTTTCCACCACAGTCACAGAATGCACTGGTCAGGCCAAATCAAGCATCCCATGCAGTTAAACATTACATATCTTATTTTAAATTAATAATCTGTCAAACCAGTTTCTCTTCCAATGTCAGTCAGTATTTTCATGTCTTAGTTTCTGAATTTCAAAACAGAGAGCCAGACCCTTGTAAAAACCTTTTACAAGATTTCTGTAAAATTCGTACCTTTGAGATGGAAAGAATTCTAACAAATTTCAGATATTCAGATTCTTTAAGATATCCCACAATCAAAAAAATTTTTTAGAATGAAACTATTTATTTGCCATTGAATTACCTATTTTGCATTTTTTCACTCATTTGCACAGCATAAATGTATAGAATAGCTACCAAATTCTAAGAGCTGTGCTAGACAACTGGGCTGGAACCACAACATACAATCACTTCTCTTTGTGGAGTTCACTGCATCTTGAATGGCCCTAACATCACATTGAAGGGATGGCCTTTGACTAAACCATTACATCACATCAAGTCAGCTGTTAGCCAAGGTACATACCAAGGACAGCTTCAAATGTTTGCCCTGTCCTGATTCTGGGAACCAGGCCACATCACACCCTATCTTGAGATATGACAATCAAACCTGTGTTTTAATTTCCTCCACCCTCTCCTGCTTCTTATTTGTCTCTTCTTATTATATTCTCCTCCTCCTCCTCGTTCTCCTTCCTGTCCCTTCCCCTTCATCTTTTTCTTTCTTCTTTGGCAGGCAGCCGGCTTTTTGAAGATTCATCTCCAACACATGCATTTGCCAGGCATGTAATTTCTTTAAATAAATGCGTCCTTAATATCTTCCAGGGGCTTGGGGGCGCCTGGGTGGCTCAGTTGGTTAAGCATCTGTCTTTGGCTCAGGTCATCATCCCCGGGTCCTGGAATCAAGCCCTGAGCTGGGCTCCCTGCTCAGTGGGAAGTCTGCTTCTCCCTATCCCTCTGCTCTTCCCCACCCCCCACCACAACCGCTTGTGCTCTTTCTCTCTCCCTCTCGAATAAATAAATAAAATCTTTTTAAAAAAATATCTTCCAGGGGTTTGAAGGGGTTCACACATTCTATAGAATTTTTTTCTTTCTTTTTTTTTTTTTTTAAAGATTTTACCTATTTATTTGACACAGAGAGAGAGACAGCCAGAGAGGGAACACAAGAGGGGGAGTGGGAGAGGGAGAAGCAGGCTCTCCGCCGAGCAGGGAAGCCCGATGCGGGGCTCGATCCCAGGACCCTGGGATCATGACCTGAGCCGAAGGCAGACGCTTAACGACTGAGCCACCCAGGTGCCCCTATAGAATTTTTTTCTTATTTTAATGGTGATTTTATTTTAATAATATAAAATGTTTTACAGTAATAATTCATAACATAGTTTTTTCATTTATTTTTACAGAATATATTTTAGCTTCTTTAATTCATTTCTTTTTTTGCAAACTGAGATCCTTAGCACCCAGTAGGAATCCAAGGACATATTCTAGGGAACCCATAAAAACTGGGTCCTTTGGAAACACTACTCTAAATCTAAACAAATAATTCTACCCTTTGCCCTAAAGAAATTGCTTACTTAACTAAAAATAAACAGATGGAGCTAAGTGGCAGAAACCAGTCTTTCATGCTATCTATATTTCCAGCACAAATTAAAGACAAGGATGAGATGGGCTCCTATGAAAATGGGCAATATTACCAGGTCTTTCTTATACTCACATATTGAATACTGTGAATTTGTATCATATCACTTATTCACCTCTTTATATTTATAAAAACAAAATCCAAAGTCCAAAAACATGGCTTCCAATTCATCCCTGCTAGTACTGCTCTCTGTTGCCATAGAAAAGTTGTTGATTATATGCCAAAAAAATCTTCATACCGCTTATTTTAAATTACAAACAGCATTTAAACATGAACTGGATGTCAAAGATTATTCAGAATGCCAGCTATTTAAAGATATGAATCTATAATGGAATTTTCTCTTCCATATTAGAGTTCTATTCCCTTTAGTTTGGGTAGATCTGTTGAAATAGAAAGTCTGAAGAAAAGTACTGATGAGAAAATACCTAGCCAATCCTTAAAGCTTCCCTTGCAGCCTGTTCTTCCTGTAGCTGGGATTATAACAGTAGCTAGGACCACTGAATGAGTGTGTGATTCCTACTTATCTCTCCACTAGGTTGTTTGGAAAGAAAGACATGGGATGTCACTGGGATTCATAAAAGGCGTGAACCCTTTCCAGAGTCCCCAGATATCACAGTGCTGAAAGTGTTAAAGTTTAAATTCTAGGTAGCTTTCCTTACCTTAACACAGGACACCAATCTCTGGAAACCAGACTTTTAAAGTTCTTTCTCTGTTCCAGTTCTGACAGTACAATTTTCCCACAAAATACTGCTTGAGGATGTGCATGCATATGGATTAGGTTAGAAGGTAATTCACTTACCACGATAAATTAGATACAGACATTGCAGCAATTTATGGAGGAGTCTTGTGGAGAAGTTTTCTCTAGATTTCAGAACAGGGAATGAGTAGGTCAAGTAGACAAGACCACTGGGAATTTCAGCTTTGCTGCTGGAATGATGCACTTACAGTTTGAAATAACCTACAAAGAAAAGAAATAAAATGTTATCTATAGAACCCAGTCTATATGACTTTTCACAAACGTATTTCATCCAGGTCAATAGTTTTGTCATGGTATAAGACACACAAAAAATATATTTTTCTCAAAATATAAGACATATTATAAACCAAAGATAAAATTAAATCAACCCTATGATAAGCTGAATGCTTTACCTTTAAAATAAGTTTAAAGATTAATACAATGTTCATTCCCTGAAGTAGAGAATACAGGGAAAGAACAGAATGTGTTTTTAGATGCACCAATTTTTTTCTCCATATGGTCAATCAGTTATGCTCTCTAAATTAGTTTTATATACTTGTACTAAAAAGATCAAAACAAAGATCCTAATTGGCCATAGCACACATTAAAAAAAAAAAAACCTCCTTGGCACAAATTATTATCATGTCCAAAGCTGTAACAAAAAAAAAATAATAATTCACTACTACTTCTAAGCAAATGAGAATTTTTATTGAGTAACATGTGGGAGGCAAGGCAGTATGTATTTACCTAACCTTTCCACACACTTTTTATGAGCATCTACTCTGCAGTGTGTCCTATGATCTTGAACCAAAATTTCTGTAGGGCACAATTAACTCCGTGGTACTGTATTAGGGACTTCAGTTCAGGTCATTAACCCAGTACAGTTCAATTAAACAAACATTCATTGAGGATATACTATGTGTACATACACTATCCCAGGTACAGTTCAGGGATAAGGATAAATGACACACAAATAAGACATGTTTCTGCCTTCAAAGAATGTTTTATGTAAAGAAGATGATTATAGGGCGCCTGGGTGGCTCAGTTGGTTAAGCGACTGCCTTCGGCTAAGGTCATGATCCTGGAGTCCCGGGATCGAGTCCCGCATCGGGCTCCCTGCTCAGCAGGGAGTCTGCTTCTCCCTCTGACCCTCCTCCCTCTCGTGCTCTCTCTCATTCTCTCTCTCGCAAAAAAAAAAAAAAACCTGAAAAAAAAAAAAAGATGATTATAATAAAATGGAGTAAGTTTTCTAATAAAGGTTTACACAGAGTATATAGAAGCAAAAAGACTGAGCAAAGCCAGTCTTAGGGATTTGGAAGGATTTCTAAAGAAGATACGGACCAAACTACTAACATTAGGTTTGGCTGCAAATTAAAAAAAAAAAAATTCCAAACTCAGAGTGGCTTAGAAAAGACAGTTTATTTCTCTCTCCTATAAACAAATCTTGAGTCTTAAGAAGTCCAAAGAAGATACAGCAATTCTATAAACACACAAGATGGAGGCTTCCTTCTTGTCATTCTACCATTCTCACCATGTGGTTCCCCTACATGTTCCAAGTGGCTGCTGAGCTCCAGAGAGTCTCTGTGTTCCAGTCAGCAAGAAGAAGAAGGAAAGAAGGATGCTTTCTGAAATTTACACATGACATTTCTCCTTGCACTTCACAGGACACAGCTTAGTCACTTGGCCACTCTTATTCTATTGGAGACTAGAAAATGAAGCCATTATTCTAGGCAGCTACAAACCAAGGTGTCTATTAGAAACTGGGGATAAAAGTGGGTATTGGGAGAAAACTAGCATTGTTTGCCATTATGTTTGTGACTCGGTGACTTTTACTCACAATATTTTATGATTCTGTACCTACTGCAAAGTGACAAATGTGGGGCAGAGGTGAGGTGCAATCAGTCTGTGGTTTGTTGGTAATTTTACGTATTTGATATATAACGTTAAACATCAAACTCCTTCAGTTTTCTTAAATCATTCATAGAATCAACAAAATATTTTGTGTGCCCTATTATTTACCAGACTCTAAGTATGAAGGACACAAGATTAATAAAATATGGTCTTTGCACATAAAGAATTTACTGTCTAACATAGATGTCATCATGTAAAAAAATAAAAAATAAAATGCACTCTGAAAATTGCTCAGTATATACAAGGGCATATGAGCAGCTACAGGGGAAGAGAGAAATAACCATAATTCTAATGGATTCTAATTTTAATAGACCTTGTCTGCCAGTTGAGTAAGCAGCTATAAGATCTATATCTAAAATGGTCTCCTTACATTCCCAAAGAGGTTTTCAAGTCCACCCTGCCCTTGGTTAATTGTTAAAGCATATGGACTTCCATCTGTTAAGGACAGAGGAACTCCAAATTCTGCTCCCAAAATTGGTAACTTCAAACTCTCAAAATCTGTATTACCTGATTCTTATCAAGGGTTCGATTACCAAAAAAGAAAAAAAAATAAAAATGTATGTACTATTGTCTGATATAATTCATTCTAGATAATTTTAATTCTTAATTCTATTTTTAAAAAGCTGTGTATCTGGATGTCATTATTTTAATATGTAACCAAATTACTTTTACTGAATTATACTTTGGGGTTTTGCCAAGAGTTTGCATTGAGGGATGTCAATAAAGATAATAATAAATAAACAAGTGAAATCCAGGCCTGTGAAATCAGCTATAAGGTTTAGCAGGATATTTACCAACACAAAAATGTTGCCCTTATGAGCACTCAAAGCAAAAATGTGCCAAGTTTCAACACTAAGAAAACTATTATTCTAAAATTCTGAGTTGCTTTAATCCTATGGGGACATTATCCTTCTTTCTTTGCTTTAACTTCTGAGAAGCTCTGCAACAAATTTGTCACATTTCTTTAAGAACTATTCCAGACTTCAAGGTTTGCATTTTTATCCTAACTTTTTTTTACCTTTTCAGGCAAGTTTAATTTTTAACCTGTTTTTGATAAACACACATACATATACAAACATATGCACATATATATATATATATACATGCATGTAAATAAATATAAAACCCTCCCTAAGTCTTTTTTAGAGTGAGAAAGAATATAATTAAAAACAACAATTCCAGATTTACCTGCTTCTGAAGAATATAGGAATAACATGTGAAGAAATTTGATTTCAGGATCTTTGATCAAACCATATGAAACTATTGTTTTTGTAGGTCAAAATGGCCAAGTATTATCAATGTATATGGTGCAACTTTATATAACTGAAGGGTTGACCAAAACAGCCTCTTACTGTTGCCTTCAACCTGACTCAACTTTAGACAGGCTTCTTCCTGACTCTAGACCCCTGACCTCTCTTTTCTTATAGTGTTTACTATAGAAAACTTCCAATTGTAAAATCTTTCTCTGCCCCTTTGAGATAAGAATCTATCAGTTTATTGCCAGTTGCACAACCCAGTAATGTCTTTCTTAAGAACTTCCATCCATTGGAAATGTAACCATCAAAGATTGTGCTCTACCTCCCAGTCTCTGTGGGAGGATAGGTGCCTAACTTCTTTAAGTACCAACCAGCAAACACAGATGGCCTGATCACATTGAGCAACCTCCTCCTAACATCCTCCAGTACTTTTCAACTAGCTCACTCTAGCACTTAAACCCTCCTGTCCTCTGTTTCAGCAGAATTGAGATCAGTCACTGTCCCTTATTGCAAAAGTCTTGAATTAAGTTTTCCTTGCCTGTTGAACTCAGCCTGGTTTAATTTTTCTTTGGGAGGTTTTTTTTTTTTTTTTTATTCCTTAAAGTTCAGGAAAATTTCCTAAGATGCTGGCAATGTTGTTAAAAAGTACAGTCTTTTCTCAATGCCCTTTACCTGTAATAACTACCAACTTGGATTTTTAAAAGTTTATATTAAATGTGGACTTATAAAATAAAATAAATATTAGAAAACTGCATTTTTTTCTGATTTTATACCTAGGTATTTATAAGAATAAAATATATGAACATAAAAAAATTCATAGTGGCCCTTCATAATGATTTACAATAATCACTCTGGCATTTATTTTGGTATTATATCATCTTTTATTTTCATTTGCATCCTATAACTATCTAATTTATTTCTTCAAGCATACATACCCACCAGACATTCAATAAAGTTTACTAAATTTTGTTAACACAAAAAAGACTATGATGTGATGTTTTCAAAGGCCTTAGAAGTGGACTTGTTATTCCCTTTAAATGGCACTAAATGATTCATTGCTTGCCAGTGAAACCTTTCCAAAGAAAATAGGATTTTCAGGAGAGATTAAATTTTCTGTACATTTTGATGATTCAAAATCTGTTTTTATAAGGATTTATTCATTTATGAGAGTGAGAGCATGAGCAGGAGGGGCAGAGGGAGAGAGAATCTAAAGCAGATTCCATGCTGAGAGCGGAGCCTGACTCGAGGTTCAATCCCAGAACACTGAGATCATGATCTGAGCCAAAACCAAGAGTCAAATGCTTAACCAAGTGAGCCACCCAGGGGCCCCCATGATTCACAATCTTTATGCAAATCCCAACAGCATTCTCCACACTTAAGTATGAATTTATATCTTTCAGGCGAAATTCTAACATTACTAACAGCCTCCACCTGCCTCACTGTCACAAAGAGAGTGTATTTTCACATTAGGGAAAACTTTTTAAAATATATGGATTGATTTGACTTTGCCTGAATGCCCAGCCATGATTGTAAGTTATAAGCATACGCACAACTGTTCTCTTGAGGTCACTCCTTTAGCACAACGTTAAGGAAAATAGTATGTGAATTTAATACAAGATCCCTCATTTGACATATTCATTAAAAATGTGAATAACCTGGGGCACCTGGGTGGCTCAGTCACTTAAATGTCTGACCCTCGATCTCAACTCAGATCTTGACCTCAGGACTGTGAGTTCAAGCCCTGTGCTGGGCTCCATGCTGGGCCTGGAGCCTTACGAGAAGGGAGAGAAAAGAGAGAGAAGAGAAGAGAGAGGAGAGGAGAGGAAAGGAGAGGAGAGAAGAGAAGAGAAGAGAAGAGAAGAGAAGAGAAGAGAAGAGGGAAGAGGAGGGAAGAGAAGAGAAGAGAAGAGAAGAGAAGAGAAGAGAAGAGAAGAGAAGAG